GGCAAGACAGGAGGAAGGAAACATGAACATGACAGAAACAAAACATAAAAACACTTAACACAGACAGAAATCATAACACATTCATTTAAATTTCCAAGGAATTGTTTCAGAAATCATCCATAAAACTGACTTAAAAACATTTATGAGCACCACAACTGTGTGCCCTGATGCACTGGAGCATTCCTATGTCCTTAGAAATAAATTTAATTTGAAATTTCCGTTGTTTTTGTACCTGCTGGTGGAAAGGGTGCAGTCGATGGCTGGTCGCTTGGTCTTGGGGATGGAGTAAAGAGGGTAGCGGTCACCATGTCGAATCATCACTTGAACGGACAGCAGTTTGTAGTCAGGAGGACTGTGACCTGTAAAATTAATAAAAAACACTCATTAAACAGGGTTTTTGTTTTGTCCTGTCGGGCAGGTGACACCAAATGTTGCCTGCCTGAAACAAAAATGTTCAAAGATATGCATAACATATGACATCTGATTAAGCAGATGCAAACATTGCAGACTGTCACTCACTAAGTCAGTCATTTGTATTATCAAAAATATCTTCAAATATTTTTAGACCTGTTATGGAATAATTATGTATATCTGTTCTACCTTGACACTGTCCAGTAATCATACTGTATCTCATGATAACGAGTTTCGGTTGTTTTACTCTATCGGCCCAGACTTCAAGACTCCAGCAATGCATGACCTCTTTTATTTTGATAAGGTGTTTCCAGGCTGACAGCCCTGTCATTGGTTAGATGGTTCACAGTTGGTGAACTGTGATTGGTTGTAAGCATGTCACAGGATGTTATATTATCGGCTGCTCTGCGCTGACGAGCCAGCCACAACTTGACAGACTTCTCTGATTGACTTCTGCTCTGTTGTTGCTCAAATTAAATCATTTGACGACCATACACGCAGACTTTCTGTGCATTTATTCCAACGTGTTTCTGCATTCTTGGTAAATCGTGCCACCACAGACCTTTCCAGTGTTTCCCCTAGAGTACTAGCCTTGGAAGGGCTGCTAAAAAACAGAATGATCAACAGCAGAAAAGTCACTAGTACTTATTAAAGGGAGAGCAGATTTTTTTAAATACAATTTACAGAACATGAAAAAGTCTATCTCATATTTAAAGATACATTTAAGTAATCTTGAACTGAAGTCTCGATACAACTTAATGATAAATCTGACGTCATTTAAACTAGTCGGAATGTAAATAGAAATATCTCAAAAAAGGTATTTTGCCTTGTTAACATGTATTTATTGTGTGTCTTCTTGAATGGGTGTTCTTAAATGTAATTTCATTGTGCTTCGTACAATAACATTAAAGGTATCATCAATCAATAAAATCAATCAATTCATTAACAGTAATTCATGTACAGGAAGTAGTGTCTAATTACTGGATGAGACACGATTGGTAGGTTTTACAGTCCGCTACCTTAGTCTCTCTGATTCACACTCCATTAAACTCCTCATTTTCCTGCATCTAGACATCGTTTTTGATCATGCAGAGAGAAGAATCACACATGCAGGACATACTGTATTTGCATTCATTGCATATTGCAGAGGCATGTCAGGGGAAGACTTACAGTATGTGCACTCAATTCCACATTCATTGAGATGCATGAAAGAAACGTGCACACAATTTGAGAAATTTTAATATTTTTGTGTGTGAATGTAATTTTCACTACTTTCAGTATGAAAGCTGTGAACTCTTTCATACGTGAGGCCCCTGGTCCTTTGTAATTAAGTTATAATCTAGAGTCTAGGCATTTAAGGTAATGTCAGATCACATATTTACTTAGTTGAAAGAAAGGGTCTCACCTTCCCAAGCCTGTTCAGTGTGGTTAGGAATGTTGCAGTAGCTGTAAGCCTCAAATATGGGACTGGGCTCTTGGGTGTGAAGTACTGGGATTATTCGCTTTCTGCTCTTCCCCAGAGCTACCCAACCACCTTCATCTGCAACCTGGAAAGGTCGCTGTTCCTTCATGGGAGAGGTAGGAATCAGGTTCACTGTGGAGAGAATGACAAGAACTTAAAAATAGTAGGATAAAATCACAAGTTTAAAAGAAATTTAAAAAGCAAAGACAATTGAGGCTCTCTAAGTTTTTTATTCTTCAACTCATAAGAATCTTACAAAATGTTACAACTAATCATCTAACATGTGGTTAAATTCAAAGATAAATGGAAGCAAAGTAAAACTGAAATTTAATGCATAATTTTCAAGTAATTAAATGGAGATGGGGGGAAGCAAAAAACAATAAGCAGAAAAGATGGAGTAACAAACAAATACAACTTAGGTACACAGATTCCAAGTCAATAGTTTGTGTCTCTGAAGCTCATTGTGTTGCTTTGGAAAGGCCGATTTGTTAACATCTCAAGGAAAAGGTGCAATAATGACAGTAATTGACAGTTGTCAGAGGACCTCAAAGGACCGTTTCCATATTCAATTATAAAAAATAAGAATCTGGACCCTTGTGCCCATTTTGGAAACACACTAGGGCTGCACCGATTAGTTGAAATAATCGATGACGTTGATTATGTAAATTTGTCTACGCAGATTTTTTTATTATCGATTCGCTGTATTACATAACCACCATGTGAATGTTCATGCAATTCCATTTTGGTACCTAAATGCATTATTGCGACCGTATTGGCATAAGAGTGGTGAGTTTTCCATGCTTGTCCTGAACGCAGCATCACAAGAGCGTAATGACGTCAGCAGCTGCTGCTTCAGTTCAGTCTGAAGCTTGAAAACATGCAGCTCCTGGAATAAAATTTACTGAACAGACCACCTCTGAATTATCTGCTGGATTAATTATCTGCTGGATTAATGATCTGCTGGATTAATTATCTGCTGGATTAATGATCTGCTGGATTAATTATCTGC